GGCATATGCGGTAATACCGACGGGTGTGCGTGGGGGGGGGGGGTGTATTTTTGTTTTGTTTTCTTTAAAACTAATTACCGACGCCCGTCTGTTTACCCCCCCCCCCCCCAAAAAAAACCCACACCAAAGGACAAAAGGTTGTCTCATTTGTATAAATACATACATTTTTTACCTGAATTTTAGGCGAAATGTTGCTGGATTAGGTAAATGAAAGAGCCGTTATTTTGTTGATATAACCAATAAAAAATGTATTACTTGGATTGGCACCAACAATGTGAAAGACGAAACATGCACTTGTTTGGCACGCACGGGGCAGAGCTCGATTCTAAAGACTATTCTGTAATACTGTTATCAGTAGACAAGTGGTAAATACAAGTGGGACAATAACCGCGAGTGGCATCATTTTTTGCTAACACCTGTTACAAAAGCCATTTTTCATCAACAAAATAACTTCGTCTGGCTAATGATAGGCTATTAATCACCGAATATTTAGCAAATAAACTTGGCGTTCTCCGATTAAGTTCATTTCGTATAATGTGTGGCTCAGCGATATGTATGAATGAGCCCCCACTTTGTAATCTTACAGTCAGTAGGAAGAATTCCGGCAGTTGGTCGACTGGTCCCTGAGTCAATATCTTCATGCTTTCCTGTTCAATCTAAAAATCCTTTCAAACGTTTATTTCTCATTCATCGATAAATAAGAAATTGTAGTGTAAGTGTCACGTACATATAAATGTTCAGAATGACCTAATTATAAGACAGAACCAAGGCCGTCTTATGGCAATTGCATATAGAGAGGCAGGGGCGTGGTGACCGTTGGGGAACAAGATTCCGAGTGTGCATAAAAACCCAATATTTACATTGGCGTCGAGAAATTAAGGGTTTTATCGAACATGCTAGATTGATTCGAATTGTAGCATATCTGGGTTACGGTATATGTTTGAAATTGGTTGAGCATATGATTATAAAGTAATGAAGATCAGAAACTTACCCCCCCCCCCCCACTTCTCTTAGACTCTGCGGATAGGCCAACGAATATAACATACCATTCGTATTTTAGGTCTATTTTAAAAATAAAATCTCCAATATGATGGCCTACATTCAGGTCTGGTAAAATAAAGCAGAAATGTATTTTCAATCAGGTCCGACAATTCGATAGAAACAACAAAACAAGTAGAACAAGTTTCATCTCAGAAGCCTGGGTTATGTGACATTATGTTCTTCATAAAGAATGTCCTTAAAGCGCACAAATCAATTTTGATTTGAAACTGTATTTTAAAGAAATAAAGCCTAATTGTTCATGCCACTTAAAACAGAATTTAACGCAGGAATGATGAATCGGTGAAAGCATCCACAGACCAATGAAGTGGTAGTGTAATCTTGTTATAGTCTAGTAATATGTTTCTGTGATAATCATATTTCATATTAAATGTTGTAAATTTTAATGTACAATAAACCCTTCTAGTTATCGGAACATAAATTGCTAAGGTACTTCACAGATGGCAACAACACCTGCCCACTTCATTAAGGTTTACTGGTCCGAATACCGTGCATAAAGAGCCGACTTTATATGCGAAAACCATCCATGGATACAACGACGTGCAACGAAAAAGGCGACACACCCCATGAAGTAAATCGCTTTTTAAAAAATGGCGTCATGTGTTTTTTTTTTAAAAAAAAAAACAAAAAAAACGCGGTGCCGTTTTACCCCCGCTCTCATATTCCCCTTTCCCTGATAGCACGACACCGTAAAAAAGCGCTGCAAAAATATTCAAGTGTCTGAACATAGATTTCATTAGTCTATGAAACAAGCGTTGATATGTATTATATCTTAATTATATCAACACCTCACCATGATCTCAGAATCTCACGACAGGCAACTGTTTAATGAATGGAGACATGTTGCCCATTCAACAATACTACACCAGTTTGATTCTATCGGGTTTTATGGTACCATAGAGTATATTATATTGCCGACAGTCTTGACACCAAGTCGTGATATAACATGTCATTACTAACAGACGTAACTATACATCTGACATAAGCTACCGTGAAGTTACCAGAAATTTACAATCCTCGGTATTACAGTGTTTCATTCTAAACACACACACACACACACCTTATTTCCGAGTTGACAACACGTATGTAATTTTTTATCAGTGCGAATTGGCTAAATGTGCCCAAAGGCCCAGAATAACCTCGCTTGATTTCACACGGTGTCTACTAATTTTATAACGAATATATTCTGGAACATTGTAGGCGGTTGCAGCTGTTAATATTTAACATACTAAAATTATCAGATACATGTACATCTGTTCACATGAATAAACGGTTTAACCATTGATCATAAGTATCGTACTTGTATCGTCTATCTTTTCGATATTATTGTTGTTAAGACACACTATGCCTTTCTCGACCAATTCTCTTTTTTTAAAAGAACAAACGCTGCCTCGTTTGAGTTAATGCTTGACCTCAGATTAGAAAACCATTGGTATCTAAACTACAGGTTGTAGAAACAGTCAGTGGTAAAGTAAAGCTCTTATCGCCACGTATTAACAGCGTCACTATGGTTTTGTATCAATGAAGCGTGTCTGCCCCCACACCTCACTAACTTGACGAGAACAGGGGAATCGGTATATCAAAAACCAAAAGGTCGCCGAGGTCAATCAAATGCCATCAATCTTCATCTATCAAACAGGGAGAAGTAATAAACACGTGTCCTTCTTAAGCCACCAACACAATTTAAATAGAAGTCACACATAAATGTATATGTCTTTTAGTATGTCAATGAGATCAATGAAACATAAATCAATCAGAATATAATGCTATTGTCGTCATTTGAGAACATGAACAAGGGGGAGACGATTGGCGAACCACAAATTAAACGCGGAAAAGTAAACGTCTAAAAGTGATTTAACATATCCATCTTTTTTTCTGTGAAAGTCAATCGGTTTAAGACCGGAGGCGGTGATCATTACTGAGACTATAGATATGTACCTTTTTAAAACAAGCGTTAACAAGTAATTATGACTGGACAAGCCCAGAAAGTAATCAGGGAAAAGTCGGGGGACAAAACTATAAAAGTTCCAAAATATAGATAAATTCCCTATAAACTTTTCTTTTTTTTCCCCTCACAAACGTTGATTTGTGGAAGAAAATGTTTTCATTCGTGGCGACACAAGAACCACGTTTAAAGAATAATATTTACATTTCGGGACGAAGTACACATCTAACTCTTACTAGACCCTGATTACTTTCGATCCAATCATTTTGACGTAAGCTATTAACGCATGTCTTATAGGCAATGCAGAGAAGCGCCGTTTGACTTTCCAGGAAAAAATATTACTCTCCCGAAAATTCTTGGCATCGACCGACTAAAAGTGCTATGATCCACAGCCTTATAGTCCCATACGTAATTAAAAGAATTGTAGTGTCAAAATATGAAGAAGAAAAAACAACTTCAAATAATGTAAATCACTTATTATTATACAAGGCGGAGCATTGGGTAACCCCCAGGTTTCTCATCAGGAGGCGGCCTTGGTAAATTGAGAATTTTAATTATCACATACTTTAAACAAACAAAAGAACAGAAAAAACCCACTCCGAAGTGAAGGGGTGTATTTGGTTTTAACTTCAACCGTATTCGATTGCGTCTTCGGTATTTTTAGACCTTCAAATTTAGTAGCAGAGTTCTAGGAATTCCTGATTTTATCAACATGTTGAAACTTGTTGTTCTCGTGACCATTATTGCAAGTGGCTTTATTTGGGATTCCCATAACATAATTTACTGTTGCGAAATATTCAGAACTTCGGAAACGTCCATATCCACTTCCATATATAAATATATATATATATACAGCTTACTCAACACAGTTATTGGCCACACACATTACAAAGTTTCTTTCAGAAAACAGTTCAATATATATTTCTTTTAGAAAAAGATAAAGTGTTTTCATGTACCTTAAACATACATTATGCAAGGGCTAAATCTGCTTATTGCAGGTCTTTCTATAGGCCTGAAATGTTATCTAAATTATTAATTAGACATTAATTAACCTATCCAGACCATAATCAACTCTAGATGGCATCGCTAGCCTGCGATCTTAAGTGGATTGTGAGCCGATTTACTGCATAACTTTCCTTCTCGATTAAACGATTAAGTGGATAATCGAGACTATGCTGTTTATCGTACTGATTTTTGTAATGATGACCGAGGCTAGGCAGAAATTTCATTCGCTTAGTTCTCGGTTCATAGTGAATTAATTTGAATGAAATTTTCAGCAAATTGACTTTACGTTATCTAGTTTTTAATTATTATAGTGAGAACTGCCAACTCGTTATCGAATCTCCCATTATGTATCTTTAAGTACATGTATCGTAATTGTTTTGAATTTTAAAAATTGTTTTCTTAAACATTCCGCCCCACAGATAATTTAACTTTTTGACATTTTCAAAGACACGAAGTATCTTAAGGTTTTATAAACCACACTTTTATTTTTGTCACAGATATCAGTCTGAAAATATCAGCTTAGTGAAAGTAATAAACAAATTCTTTTATTTCAAATTTTTGTGGGAAATAAATGTTTACTAATAACTGGTTCACAATTGTGTGATACTAATAAATAAATTTTGTTTTCTATGTAGGTACACATAAGTAATCTATCTGAGAAACCAAAATAGATTTACATTGACTTATCATCATAATTAATCATGTTCTATGTCATCTACTGTGTACTATACTGCCACCATTGACAATGTATAACACATATAGGTACATTATTATGTCATTTGTCTTGAAAAAATATTACTTATGAAAGGAACCACCTAGCGAAACTGATGAAACGTACTAACAGAAAAAGGTCTGGATGTTACGATGATAGCTAAAACATCCCACGCAATTCAACTAACATCGTCTGCTCTTTTCTATAGTATAAGCTTAGTCGCGATCGCTTACGTGATTTTTAGACAACGTCATTTCGTGTAATAGGGGCGGTAAGGTTGTGGATATCTCAGACGCTCGCCTAAGTTCTGAGCATTCCGGTGCAATGTATCGATTTTCTACAAATGGTAACTGTTACTACTAATACTATTTTATATCTGTTACAGACACACCGGGTTTCAATGTCTGGTTTCCTTTTGGTTGGCCAGCTCGAACCTGCTGACTCCCCTACAGTTGAGATCTCACCTGTTTCAGTTCAGAAGGATTAAGCAGACTAGTCAGATATTCATCGTCTGTTGAGTAATGTGTTGGAGGGTGTTAAACAAGGATTAATGCCTATGGAAGAATGTTTTATGCAAGGAAAAGACTCCAGTTTTCGCAGTTTAAACGGGAATGGGACCAGCTAGATACGGCTTCATTGTTTATAGTGTAATCTTTCTTATTGGATGTTTCTTACAGGGTAAGTAAAAATAATTTATATCAATAGCTTACACAGGTAGCATTTTAAACATTACCTGAGAGACACTTGTTCAAAGATTCCGGCGACAATCGATTTACAGTCGACCTAATTTTATGTTTATTTACATATTATTGTTTTTATACTTGACACTTCGTTTTTATTTTATTGTATTGATCTTTTTATTTTACACTCGCAAAATCTGCAAATAACAACCTTGAAAAGAATTACGATTTTTCGGGAATTTTCAGGATTCATTTTTTTGACACAGTAATATTGCTTACACAATTACATGTATATGCAAAATTGGCACTGTTCACTGTTTTATTGATAACACGCTGTTGATTTTTTTATATTTCCAATTTATTTTGCTAATACAATATTAATACAATACTGTAAGCTGGCGACGGAATGGGGTCTGCTATGTTGGAATGATTCAGTTATATATTTGGCACTGACGTAATCTAACAGACACCGTTATCCTGTCGAATTACGGCGCATTCGCGGCATTCCCATGCTTGAAAAGAACAATGCTTTAAAATTTTAAACCATTTATAGCCAGGAAGGGTTTGTCAATATACAGTGCTAAGAGCTAGAGGCAACGCAATTAAATAAATTACTAATATATTCGCACAGAAAATACGAGCACGTGGTGTTTCCGTATTCTGAATGTAGTAATGTACTTATTCGGTTGACGTGACTCCCTTTTATTTGCGGTTAGGGTTAGGTATGGGGTTTTAGATGTAAGTCAGCAATAATTGTCCAATTTTGGAGCACAATCTTTTCCCCACAAAAAGGCAAGCTCATAGTTTTGCATTTAACTGATCCTTTTTCTATATTGGCATTATTGGTGCACCATTAGTCTTATTTACTTCAAATGAATAAAATAGATTTGTAGTACATCACGTTACCGTTACAGATTCAGTGCTAGCACAGAATGCACACGTGCATTTATACACAATTTAAATTTACTTTTACTATAATGCATAGATCAAGATGCCTTATTTGAAATATTTCCTATTCACTTGGTAGTCTTGTTGGTCGATAAGGACTCATTATGTAGGACAAATAATTCTAATACAACAGAATCGATAACATTTGTTCTACCTGAATGCAGTTGCACAATTCCTATATTGCTGATTAAATTACAGCTTACAATTGATTTTCATTTGTAAAGAATATAATGAATAAATTAGAGGGTGTAGGCCTACATGTATATGTGCTTTGCAGTGAAATCATTGTAGTTTCATCATCTACAGTCAAACTGGATGGTTTAAGTATAAGTAGATGCATTTATTGACTGAGAGTTATTAAAGTAAAGGGCTTGGGCTCTGTGTCCTAAAAGAACAGTAAGAGTAGATTATTCTGTATTTAGTACCAATCATTGCCAAGAAAGTTTTTCATTAGAATGTTTAAAGCAAGTTATAATTGAAAATGAAAAACACCAAAAAGTGACATTTTACTTTATGATTAAAAGATAATATCATTTAAACTAGTTTTGAAGAATCTCTGTGAAAGTCATATATTATAATTTTGTCAGTATCTAATGTTTCATTGACATTGATGGAGATGACCCGATGACTGATCGGTCAGTCTGGGTCATAAAGACATTGAAGGTTCCATGGTTTTCTTTCCTGAATATCTCCAGTGGATAGAGGAACAAAACGTAGATTTTTCAAGCATAATCGATGTGATAGTGGATCTATCTGTTTGTCTATGGCATGAAAACTGAAATCCACCCAACCATGTACACATTGCTATGCAAGTCAAAGAATTCTTTAGGTTGAAACTCAATGACTGATAGGTAGAAATGCATCCATAGATCAGTCGGCTAAAAAAAAATTATAAATTTTTATTTTGGAATCTGTTGAGAAAGATTGGTTAAAGGACATCATCTCAGCAGCAGTAAGAGTTGTATAATCAAAAAAATTATTTATAAATTTTTATTTTGGAATCTGTTGAGAAAGATTCTCAGCAGTAGGAAGAGTTGTATAATCAATTGTACAGTAAGATTAATATAATCATACAAGATTTATTACATGCTGTAAAAATGAGAGAGACTGTAGATCTGAAGAAAACTAGGCTGGTGTTGGCAATCTGTAGATGTGAATGGTTTATCTGTGATATTGTGTGGAGTGATAAATAAAGATAAATTGATGTAGGATTAGATTGGTAGTGACAGTGAGACTAAACACAAATCTAGGTTTTCACGTTAATGCTATTTGTTCCTGGTTTTATGTTTATACATATAAAAATCACTTGTTTTGTTTCTTTAATCTCTTACACAATACACACTGATTATCTACACTACAATATATTATATTGTACTGTAGGTAATCAGTGTGTATTGTCTAAGAGATTAGGGAGGATTGAATTACTCTATACAATAGATACAGACAGGAGATGCAGGGGATATAAAATTAATCCCAAGGATAATCATAAAGAAAAACCTTGATCTAGATTTCTTTATGCTGAAAAATAAATTTAGTCTTGAATTATATTGAGGTCAATTTAATTGGAAATTGTTTTGAAATTGAAAGTTAAAAGTACAGGTAAAGCAAGTGGCCAGTATTCCAATTTGCCTTAAGTGTAAATCCAATCCTAGTAACATATGCAAACGGGGACCCTAGTGGCTGCTCCTCTGATCTTCCAATCTTTTGTATAGAGCTAGGGGAGTTTGCCCCAGCACTTTCATATTACATGTGTTATGCTTGTTTAAATGTCCTCACTTTATTTTCAAACCTAACCCTATTAACATACAGACTCTGGCATAAGTGGTTACACGCCCCCCCTCCCCCCCCCCCCCCACAAGCAATCTTTCTTACAAGGGAAACCCGCCCTAGCAACGCTTTCATCCTCACTTTATTTGTGACCCCTGTCTTTTACAACCCTCCCTCCTAATTTAATGCATTTGCTGGATTGATATTATGGGTATATATAACATCAGTAGTGTGCTTCTTGTTAGTATTTGTGAGGCTCTTCATTGAGAATATTATATCGCTATTTGCCAGACTAATGGTACTTATTATTGTAACTAGATTACAAAGGTTTTCTTATTGGATTTTCTGCCAGTTTATAATAATGATAGGGACAAAAATTTTCCATCTACAGGCCATCAGTTTAGAAAGGCTATTGTCACTTATTTTTCTTCATCTTTCAGATATTATATTATCTTCGAGATAATATTTTTCTTATTTTGGGGTGTCTGGAGAGTTTTACAAAGATTCTAACTAATTAATCGTTTATAGATACTGTAGCTCTGTCTTATAAGTAGTCTGATATTGATTGAGTTTAAATCTATATGTCTGGTCTACTGTGTTGGATCCAAGTTTACAACATATATATCAACGTCTACTCCTAATGATTTTACTTTTAAATGACTGCCCGTTAATAGTAGATTATTCTCTCAGCTTCCAGCCTACCTGTAATAACCACTCATAGTGTTTTATCTTGGACATGATCAATAAAATTTCTATTCTTTCAACATTATTCTGAACTTAATTTCTTATTTTGCGTGTGTACAGGCAAAAGTTCTCGAGTCCATAACAATTCATTTTAAGCATAAACATTCTGACAAATAAAATTAAAATATAGTTTGTGTGAGAATAATATAAATTAAGTTTTAGGGTCGATTTGAGGAATAATGTACTTTTTATATGCCCACATGAAAATGTAATACACGTCCATCCTTCGTCCACTATTTCTTATGAACACTCTACATTTATCATCTGATCTTCTAAAAAATTGACATGTTTTGTTTATAAAAGTGAGACGAAGACGCCATTTTATTTTAATCAATTTCTGTTAATTATTTCATGAGTTACCTCCCTTGTTTCACATGGTAGAATCTTGTGAGTGCCCTGAGATTTGTATGCATTATTTAAAGTAATGAAACAAAGAAGCTTCTTCGATAATATTAGCTATCAAGTAGGGTGACCCACCATAAATAAATATCTCCAAATATCTCGACAATTACGCCACAATATTTATATATATACCAAGCCTCAAATCAGTTTCACACAATCATAGTCACTAAATAAACGATCATGTTGTACTTAATAAGCTATGACCATGTCCATAAATCATCTATAAATAATAGACTGAAAACTGGTTCCAAGTGTCGTCCATAACATCCAGACACTTTTGAGTAAAAGATAGGTTACGTGCCCTTGTTTTAAAATTAGTCTCGCTTAACCAGTCTATCGACCATTCTATGTCTGATTGACAGGTCGGGATAATCAAGACTACTTTTTTACGAAAAATTTCATTCAAATTACTTTATTCTGAGCAAAGTTATCACTGTTTGTAGTTTTGACAAGATGTGTGCATTGATTGTTTATTATTGTGATCACGGTTCTGGTTATTCGAGACTTAGCCTTGCTTCTCCATTTTTAAATTAAATCATTAAACAGCTGAACTATTCTGATCTACTTAAAATCGAAGCCATCCGATGCCATAGAGAGTTGATTATGGTCTTGTCATGTTAATACATGTCTCAATAATAATTTACATAACATTTAAGGCCTAAAGAAAGACCTGCAATAGGCAAATTTAGCCCTTGAATAATGCATCGTTAAATACATGTATAGTATTAGAAACACAACAGTGGTATGTCTTTCTACCATTTCAGTAAAAGTGATGAAATTCTAATGTAGATAGTCTTAATCTAAAACAGGGGTAGAAATATTTTATCTACCTAACATTCTAGTAAAACTATTTATTATATTAAAGAGGTGTTAACAGAATGTGTGTAACTGTCTTCACCTACTGAAAGCTTACACAATCAGCTAATATTACCTGGGAATTTGTGGACAGATTTAGGTGTAAATTCTCACTTTAAAGCGTTTTAAGATTGTGGGTTTCTTTTTCCATTACAAACTAGTATCATGATAGGTTTAACCATGTATCTATAATTCCTAGGGGTGGGGGAGTTGATCAGACGTAACAATAATTAGAGAGAACTTTTCCTTTGGGATGGGGGGGGGGGGGTGACATTTCCATGC